GCGAGATCCGCGTTACTCGTGTGTGTGTGTGTGTGTGTGTGTGTGTGTACATATACACGCATGCGTGTTTGTGCATGCAAATACGATACGTACGTAGTAAATGTTTGCGGGCTGCAGATCAAAAGTTATTTACCTATCTCTCGCTTTTTGTGGTCCTCTCATTGAATCGTTGAATGCACGCTGCCTGCAACGGTGACATCGGTCGCTCATACATTTTTTATATTGCCCACCAAGTTGTTTCTCCGCATTGTGGGAGGAAGTAAGATCCGCATGCAAAGGCAGCGAGCGTTTCTTCTAACCGGCGGGCCGAGTTGAATAGCGTCCCGAGATTCTAAAACGGTCACTGAATGCCTGAATGAGAACTCGTTATCGAAGCCGGAGGCTGTTCGTGAGAGAATATCGCACAGGCGACGCCCACGATGGATACTTTGCGAAAGTGTTAGAATGTCTGGCATTCGCATTTAATCCGTCCGCGCGGATGTGAATTTCAAACAGGAAATTTCGGCGAAAACTCAACAAGCTATTTCCGTGCAATTAATAGCGGCTGTGTTACAATTTGCGCATACTTCAACGGCGTATCTTTTTTTTTTTTTCCTTTTCACGTTTCAGATCAAACTATGCGAAAGACGAATCGATTTTGAAAAAATGCGCTACGAGAGAGAAAGAGAATACTTATTTAATGTACAATATATGTAACGGAAAGAAGCAAAGTGAGGTAAGGTAAAAGTTTGCGCTGAATATTTACTTATTATACTCATGAGAGCCGGTATATATGTATATACTGAAAACTCAGGTGTCTGATTTCCCCCACTTAACTTCAGAAGGCTGAAAGAGCATTATTAACGGCAGCTTCGGCTTTAAATCCCGGGTAATTCATTATTCGCGCATCGATATATAATACCTTTATTAATTGTCACGAATGAGTATTTTAATGAGTTTACCGATGAACGTATTACTCCGCGTCCCGTCCATTCGCATAAAATCCTACGAAGCCTGGAATCCTAGAATCGTGTGTGAGGTCGCAGCGATATATCGTGGGTTCTTACTAATTAAATATTCCGAGGTGTACGAAACGCAAAGCCCGTACGGTCGGTACAAGCATTCCGTTAACTGTGTCAGCAATTAATATGGTTTACAGTCACGGCAAGCTGCGACAATGAAGTACGGAATAATCTGACCTACGTGACCAGTCCTGGTTTTCCCAACCTCATCGACCGGCCTATGAACTGCACGGTGGTTATACGAAAGATCGATACGGAGCCAGTCAGCCAGTTGAGGATCGACTTTCACCATTTTCACATTGTAAGTGTTTCAGGGATGTCTTATTATTATAGTGTTACTTACTAGGAGTAGGCCGATTGCAACTGTCGATTCCCAAGTGCTCTACTTAGCATATCTAATATTTCACAAGCTGTCAAGACAATAACGCTACTAACGCGTGTAAATGAAGCTGAATTTTTTTGTAAAAGATCGCGGCAACGTTAATTTTTAGCTGCTAATCAGAAATCAATATTAACTATTTGAAATATTTTTGTCAGCGCATTTCTCATATAAGTACTCATATAAATACACGCGTGGTTGCTGAGCCAATTCTATAAATAAGTTTACAAATAAGGGAAAAGATAGAAAAGGAGAGAAAATATGAAAGAGTGAAGGTAGAAAAATGCAGTACATAAAAAAAAAAAAATAGAAAAAATTGTATGTTACTCGTCATATATGTCGCGTTTTAACATAAATGAAACACACACGTGACTCGTTTAAATTAGTATATATTGATTGCGGAGAAAAAGAGAAAAAGATAAGTAAAACAAAGAAACGTTCTAGGGTCCGCCAAATTCCATGACCGGCGTGTGCGACGAGGATGTTATGGAAATTAGCAATGGCAAGTCAAAGTTCGAGCTGTGCGGATGGAACAGCGGGCAGCATAGTGAGTACCGCTTTATTTTCCGTGAGTTTCACAAGTTCCGTATCGCGAGACCGCGGTTAAAATTCGATCCACCGGCATCTCGCGCACGTGCACGAGTTTTACGAGCAATTTAAATAGCACGGGCTGTTCCATATATCTCGACAGTATACGTGGACATGGGCGAAGGTGACGAACCAGTCATTCTGCACTTCCGGCTGCCGGGCGGACTGCAGTCACGAATATGGGAGATGCGGGTGACGCAGCTGGGCTTCGAGCAACGCGCGCCAGTAGGATGTCTCCAATATTTTCGCTCGTCCAACGGCATTCTGAGGACATTCAATTACCTGCCGAACGGCAGATACCTCGCCGAACACGATTACCTATTATGTATACGTCAGGAGAGAGACATGTGCGGTATCTCTTATCAGCCCTGCACGCAGCACTCTTTTCGGATAGGTCCCGATAGGTCTCCAGATACGTCCAACACGACCAACAATGCGGTCCCCACGACGGTCGCGCCGAACACCGGAAATGTCTCGGCTGTCAGTGAGAATGCCCCTTCTGGAAACAGTTCCGGCACGGACGTCATCGAGGGATCTGGAGCGGGATCACCCGAGCAGGAAATGGTTTTTATCTCCAGCGTGAATTTGGTAACTTCTATCCACTTGGAAAGACGGTGCAGGGACAGGATACTTATTCCTTGCGACTTTGAAGAATTTATTACAGTACGTTTAATTTCAATTAGTTTTTTTTCTTTTTTTCTCTTGTAATTTTCCAAGTAGATCATCCAATAATAGATATCGCTGTAGTTTTGTTTATGAGAGACGGAGAAGAAAGACGGAAAACCAAGAAATGGAATTAAATTGATCGTGAATTTAGTGACATTAGTGCAATTGGAAAGTTTTATTTTGCGTGAAATAATTAGATAAAAATGAATCTAAATGCAATTTCACTTTGCGTCCATTGAAAAAAATTAATCATCCTTTAAAATGTTTAAATTGAATTTAAGCGAAAATTTAGAAACTGAAAGATCAAACATCAGTATGACAGAATTAATCGCGATAGCTTTGGCGTATCTTAAATCATGGAATCAACGGAAGCGCTATCTTGTTTACCACAACGAATGTGTATATATGTGTGGGTGTGTGTGTATGTATCTGTTCCAGCCGGGAAACAACATGGCAGGTATCTGCAATTTGGAGCGTTGCGGCAGTTCGCTGTGCGGTCCAAGCGAACTCGATCTGGAGGGTAACTGCCGAGTGGAAACTTGGACTACCCCCTTTCGCATAAGGGTGGCGTTCGGCCCGGGTAGTAATATGAACGGCACATTGGAAGAGAATGCCGGCATGTGTCTCATGTACCATCAGTTACCTTGTGTGGCTTGAGCGTTATAATTATCCCACTCTCCGCAAGACGTACAAAGCGCAAAGCGGAACGCTAGACGGCCTATAAATGCGGAGACAACGTCACGAACACGAGGAGGAAGCGTCATCGACTGCATCTGTACTGTCTGCAACGCCGTTTCTGCGGTATATTGTGCATATTACGCGACGTCGCCAACGTAAATATAGGAAAATATTTTCGAATGGAATAAAAGGAGGCTTCCGCTCGTTTCGATCCTGCGCGTTTATTCGTTCGCTCGTTCGCTCGGCTTACGACGGATTGATGGACGCGGGATTATAGGAGAGAAATTATGGGATATATTGCCAGGTGAAGGTACGGTGCTGTAAAGTCAATTAATACCGCACAAAAAAGTCAAAGAGTCAAATAGTCTTTATTTACAAATGAACTAGCTTAAATCGTAAACGCAGCGCACAACTCTCGATATAGTGATATATATATACATATATATATATATATATATATATATATATATATATATATACTCTT